GTCTACCGCCAGACACCGAACACCGAGCCAACCGCGTGCACCACCCGGGTCTACCGCCAGACACCAAACACCGAGCCAACCGTGTGCACCACCCATGTCTACCGCCAGACACCGAGCCAACCGCATGCACCACCCGGGTCTACCGCCAGACACCGAACACCGAGCCAACTGTGTGCACCACCCATGTCTACCGCCAGACACCGAACACCGAGCCAACTGTGTGCACCACCCGTGTCTACCGCCAGACACCAAACACCAAGCCAACTGCGTGCACCACCCGGGTCTACCACCAGGCACCGAACACCGAGCCAACTGCATGCACCACCCGGGTCTACCGCCAGACACCGAACACCGAGCTAACTGCATGCACCACCCGTGTCTACCGCCAGACACCAAACACCGAGCCAACCGCATGCACCACCCGGGTCTACCACCAGGCACCAAACACCGAGCCAACCGCATGCACCACCCGGGTCTACCGCCAGATACCAAACACCGAGCAAACCGCATGCACCACCCAGGGTCTACCGCCAGACACCGAACACCGAGCTAACCGCATGCACCACCCGGGTCTACCGCCAGACACCAAACACAGAGCCAACCGTGTGCACCACCCGGGTCTACCGCCAGACACCAAACAGCGAGCCAACCGAGTGCACCACCCGTGTCTACCGCCAGACACCGAACACCGAGCCGACCGCGTGCACCACCCGGGTCTACCGCCGCACACCGAACCAACCGCATGCACCACCCGGGTCTACCGCTAGACACCGAACACCGAGCCAACCGCGTGCACCACCGGGGTCTACCGCCAGACACCGAACACTGAGCTAACCGTATGCACCACCCGGGTCTACTGCCAGACACCAAACACCGAGCCAACCGCGTGCACCACCCGGGTCAACGCCAGACACCGAACACCGAGATAACCGCATGCACCACCCGGGTCTACCGCCAGACCTGTGTACACTGATGGGGGAATGGAAGTATCCCTGAGCATAGATACCCAGAATTCCACCCGGCATCCAGGACAGGAGAGTCCATACCAGGGGCGGACTGACCATTTGGAAACTCGGGCACTGCCCGAGGGCCCGCGGTCAGTAGGGGGCCCCATGAGATGCCCCTGGTACCTTTTTCATAGGCTTTTTTGAGTTTGGGCAAGGACACAGGGGCCCCATGATCCCCTATTGCCCGAGGGCCCCATGAGTTGTCAGTCCGCCCTTGCGTATGTTGTTCTGTATGTATGGATAGTTTTATTTGTATAAACAAACAAATTACAAGGTAACAAAACTGTAACCATCATAAAACAAACAGCACATAAACCAACAATGTAACAACTGCTTACATCTTCTTCACGTCAAAAACACATCAGTTTAAATGAAATGAAAAGTTATACACAGAATTTTGATACTATAAATAAAATTCCATCCCATAATTTTATATTCCTCCAGTATTTCCTCAGCTCTAAACTCTTTATCCACCTCAGCTCTGAGAGGACTACGTCTGCGACTTCCCTGGCCAGGAACAGCTCGTTGTGCATGGCTACCTTGGTCCTCAGAAGACTACGTCTCCGTCTCCTGGCCAGGAACAGCTCGTTGTGCATGGCTACCTTGGTCCTCAGAGGACTACATCTGCGACTTTCCTGGCCAGGAACAGCTCGTTGTGCATGGCTACCTTGGTCCTCAGAGGACTACATCTGCGACTTTCCTGGCCAGGAACAGCTCGTTGTGCATGGCTACCTTGGTCCTCAGAGGACTACGTCTCCGTCTCCTGGCCAGGAACAGCTCGTTGTGCATGGCTACCTTGGTCCTCAGAGGACTACATCTGCGACTTTCCTGGCCAGGAACAGCTCGTTGTGCATGGCTACCTTGGTCCGAGCGTGCCAGTGATAGTCCCTGACCACAGCGATAACAATGTACATGGCTCCTCTGTCTATGTTGTGTATTGTGGGGGGAACACCATAAAGCCTGTCAGGACAGCTCAGGTTCTCCAACCTGGACTCTGCACAGTCCCACTTCTCCTGTCCTGGATGCCGGATCACCTCCTTGGTGAAGACAGTCACCGATCTTTTCCTGGTAATAAAATATTCTGCTTGTTAATCATAATAGTCTTGTGAGTCCTAATAATCTATAATAACATAATATATTGTATGGAGGATTACTATTGGTCTGCGAAGATCCTCATATCACCTGCAGCCCCTCCCCCCATGTATTGGGTGTGGTCAGGGCCTTGAAGAAGTCCCCCTCCCCCCCCCAAAATGTCCCCCATGTTGTCATGTTACAATGTATCCCCCCCCCCGAAATGTCCCCCATGTTGTCATGTTACAATGTATCCCCCCCCCGAAATGTCCCCCATGTTGTCATGTTACAATGTATTCTCCCTCCCCCCTGAAATGCCCCCCATGTTGTCATGTTACAATGTATCCCCCCCCCCCGAAATGTCCCCCATGTTGTCATGTTACAATGTATTCCCCCCCCCCCCCCGAAATGTCCCCCATGTTGTCATGTTACAATGTATCCCCCCCCCCGAAATGTCCCCCATGTTGTCATGTTACAATGTATCCCCCCCCCTGAAATGTCCCCCATGTTGTCATGTTACAATGTATTCCCCCTCCCCCCTGAAATGTCCCCCATGTTGTCATGTTACAATGTATCCCCCCCCTGAAATGTCCCCCATGTTGTCATGTTACAATGTATCCCCCCCCCCCTGAAATGTCCCCCATGTTGTCATGTTACAATGTATCCCCCCCCATGTTGTCATGTTACAATGTATCTATCGGGATTGGATGTGATGGACCGACACAAAGTGGCTCATAATTGTGAAGTGGAAGGAAAATGAGAAATGGTTTCCAACATTTGTGACCAATAAATCTGTGAAAAGTGTGGCGGCATTTTTATTCAGCCCCTTTACCCTGATCCCCCTAACTAAAATCTAGTGGAACCAATTGCCTTCAGAAGTCACCTAATTAGTACATAGAGCCCCCTGTGTGTGTCATGTGATCTCAGTATAAATCCAGCTGTTCTGTGAAGCCCTCAGAGGTTTGTTAGAGAACATTAGTGAACAAACAGCATCATGACGGCTGAGGTCAGGGATAAAGTTGTGGATAGGTTTAAAGCAGGTTATAAAACAATCTCCCAGGCTTTGACCATCTCACGGAGCACTGTGTTCAATCCATCATCCGGAAATGGGAAGAGTACGGCACAACTGCCAACCTACCAAGACATGGCCGTCCACCTAAACTGACCGGCCGGGCAAGGAGAGCATTCATCAGAGAAGCAGCCAAGAGGCTCATGGGAACTCTGGAGGAGCTGCAGAGATCACAGCTCAGGGGGGGAATCTGTCCTCAGGACAACTATTAGTCGTCACTCCACAAATCTGCCTTTATGGAAGTGTGACAAGAAGAAGCCATTGTTGGAGGAAAGCCATAAGAAGTCCCGTTTGCAGTTTGTGAGAAGCCATGTGGGGGGCACAGCAAACATGTGGAAGAAGGGGCTCTGGTCAGAGGAGACCAACATGGGACTTTATGGCCTAAAAGCAAAACGCTATGTGTGGGGGAAAACTAACACTGCCCATCCCCCTGAACACACCATCTCCACTGTGAAACATGGTGGTGGCAGCATCATGTGGTGGGGATGCTTTTCTTCAGCAGGGACAGGGAAGCTGCTCAGAGTTGATGGTAAGATGGATGGAGCCAAATACAGGGCAATCTTAGAAGAAGACCTGTTAGAGTCTGCAGAAGACTTGAGACCGGGGCCGAGGTTCCCCTTCCAGCAGGACAACGACCCGAAACATCCAGCCAGACCTACAATGGAATGGTTCCGATCAAAGCATCTTCATGTGTTAGAATGGCCCAGTCACAGTCCAGACCCAAATCCAATGGAGAATCTGTGGCCAGACCTGAAAATTACTGTTCCCAGACGCTCTCCATCCAATCTGACAGCTTGAGGGATTCTGCAAAGAAGAACGAGCAGAACTGTCCCTCTCTAGATGTGCAAAGAGACATCCCCAAAAAGACTTGCAGCTGGAATTGCAGCCAAAGGGGGTCCTACAAAGTATTGACTCCGGGGGGCCGAATACAAATGCCGCCACACTTTCTCATTTTCCTTCCACTTCACAGTTATGTGCCACTTTGTGTCGGATCATCACATCCAATCCCGATAAATAACTGTATGTGTGTATATATATATACAGTGCCCTGAAAAAGTCTTCCTCCCACTTCTGACATCATTGCTTACTACGTGTGAAATCTGTGAATGATCACAGAGATCACATGGTACAGGGCTATTCACAATAGCCTTGTACCATGTGACAAGCTGTGACCAATCACAGCTCTCACAGTATTTCTCAAGAATGCAGCCAGAGAGAAGGAGAAATGATTGCTTTTATAGCCTTTATGGGTGTAAAAGCAATCAGTGTAAAAAAAAAAATCTTCATCTCCCCCCACAAGTAGTACAGTGTCACCATGGTAACCCCCACACTGCTAGGGTGACAGTAAGTAAAAAAAAAAACATAAATAATAATATAAAAAAATAAAATAAAAATGTGAAAAAAAATGTTTAAAGATTATGATTTTTGGTTAAACTCATTTGGGTAATTTTTTTTTTACTAAAAAGATAACGGAATAAATTTTGGACGAGATTTATGATGAAATATTATTTATCTGCAAAATGTTATAAGAAAAAACACTTTTTTTTCAAAATTTGTGGACTTTTTCATTTATATAGCAAAAAAAAAAAATAATCCCAGCGGGGAATAAATACCACCAAAATAAAGTTTTATCTGTCTCAAACAAATGCTAAAAAATTCCTATGGGTACAGTGTTGCATGACCGCGCAATTGTCATTCAAAGTGTGATAGCGCTGAAAGCTGAAAATTGGCCTGGGGGGGGGGGGTGGGGGGAAGTGTCCGGACTGGAAGGGGGGGAAAGTGTCCGGACTGGAAGGGGGGGAAAGTGTCCGGACTGGAAGGGGGGGAAAGTGTCCGGACTGGAAGGGGGGAAAAAGTGTCCGGACTGGAAGGGGGGGAAAGTGTCCGGACTGGAAGGGGGGGAAAGTGTCTGGACTGGAAGGGGGGGAAAGTGTCCGGACTGGAAGGGGGGGGAAGTGTCCAGACTGAAAGGGGGGGAAAGTGTCCGGACTGGAAGGGGGGGAAAAGTGTCCGGACTGGAAGAGGGTGAAAGTGTCCGGACTGGAAGGGGGGGAAAGTGTCCGGACTGGAAGGGGGTGAAAGTGTCCGGACTGGAAGGGGGGGGAAGTGTCCGGACTGGAAGAGGGTGAAAGTGTCCGGACTGGAAGGGGGGGGGGAGTGTCTGGACTGGAAGGGGGTGAAAAGTGTCCGGACTGGAAGGGGGGAAAAGTGTCCGGACTGGAAGGGGGGGAAAGTGTCCGGACTGGAAGGGGGGGGGGAGTGTCTGGACTGGAAGGGGGGGGAAAGTGTCCGGACTGGGAGGGGGGGGAAAGTGTCCGGACTGGAAGGGGGGGGAAAGCATCCGGACTGGAGGGGGGGGGGGAGTGTCCGGACTGGAAGGGGAGGGAAAGTGTCCGGACTAGAAGGGGGGGAAAGTGTCCGGACTGGAAGGGGGGACTGGAACCACCCAGGAACACGCAGGAACTGCACAGGAACATGCAGGAACCGCACAGGAAACCACAGAAACCACATAGGAACATGCAGGAACTGCACAGGAACACGCAGGAACTGCACAGGAACACGCAGGAACTGCACAGGAACACGCAGGAACCGCACAGGAACACGCAGGAACCGCACAGGAACACGCAGGAACCGCACAGGAACACGCAGGAACCGCACAGGAACATGCAGGAACCGCACAGGAACACGCAGGAACTGCACAGGGCCACGCAGGAACTGCACAGGAACATGGAGGAACCGCACAGGAACATGCAGGAACCGCACAGGAACATGCAGGAACTGCACAGGAACATGCAGGAACCACACAGGAACATGCAGGAACCGCACAGGAACATGCAGGAACCGGTTTTGGCATTCTGTGACGTTTGGGATTCTTGGATTGGAGGAGAACAGAGGGAGTTTGTGGGTTTTTTTTTTTTGCATTACATCTCCATCAGTGCGGCGATGAGGAGCCTCTATTCGGGGGGCTGGAACATCTGCACTCACATCGATCGATTGTTGGGGTATTTATTAAAAGTGATTATATAGAACCAACAATATACATACTGCACATCCCACATCAGTCCCTGCCCCCAGGAGCTTACAATCTAAGGTCTCCAGACTGCCTCTCACACACATTCAATGATCCTCCTGGAAACCAGAATACTTGGAGGAATCCCTTGCAAGCACAGGGAGAACATGCAAACTCCATGCAGATAGTGTTCTGAATGACAGGGTTCCAGACCGAGCATCAGATGTGATCCATGTATGCTCAGTAATGTTCCAGTGCAACCCTTCCAGGTATTCATTACCTCCCCCTGGACAATGCCTTCATCTGCTTTTCTTTCCAGATGGACACCATCTTTGTTTAGGCATCATAGGTCATCATTTACTTCCTGGACTGAGATCCCGGCTCAGAGATGGCAAAATCATGTCAATCCTGGTGTCTGTGCAGTTCTTGGCTGTGTTCACAAATGTCTGACACAGATCAGCCCCAGCTGCAGCCTCTCACCTTGTGACCTTGCTACAAAGTTACAATGTACAGTCTGATCACTGGGGGAGGGGCGGCTGAGGAAATGCCTCCTCCTCCTTCTACAAAGGTACAATGTACAATCTGATCACTGGTGGAGGGGAGACTGAAGAAATGCCTCCTCCTCCTCCTTCTACAAAGTTACAGTGTACAGTCTGATCACTGGTGGAGGGGAGACTGAGGAAATGCCTCCTCCTCCTTCCACAAAGTTACAATGTACAGTCTGATCACTGGGGGAGGAGACTAAAGAAATGCCTCCTCCTCCTCCTTCTACAAAAGTTACAGTGTACAGTCCGATCACGGGGGGAGGGGAGACTGAGGAAATACTTTCTCCTGCCTGCAGCAGACTGATGACATCATCTCAGCCTAGGCACAGTCACTGGCTGGAGCTCACTTTTTCATGATAAAATGTATATTGTGAATCTTTCATGCAGACTTGTACATTTGCTGACAGATATACATTTAGTGCAGATTCGTACATACATGAGCAATGCGGATCACATGGCCTGGACGTGTCTCCCAGACCGTGGCATTGGTGCGTTGCAGGCCATGTCTACAGGTGAATAGAATTTGAATGCAGCTGCTTGCAGCCAGGCCCGGGCTGAGGGGTAGGCAATAGAGGCAGCTGCCTTAGGCACTTCAGCAGGGTGGGGGGTAAGACCTGCAACCTAGCCTACCGAAAAAGTCACCATTAGAGCCCATTCACAGTTATGCAACTTGTCATGCCACTTTGGGGTCCAAAGCAGCATGATAAGTGGCCCCCCTTGTTTCCCAATGGGTACCATTCATATTAGGGCGACTTCAAAGTAGTTCCTGCCCTACTTGGGTCCAACTTTCATGCAACCTGAGGGCCATAGATGTCAATGCGAACCCTTCAGAGTAGCATGAAAGTTGCATCAGAATGTTGTACATGCGACATCTGTGCGACTTTGGGGTCCAAAGCGAATCCTGCAACCCCGCTGTGTGTGCAGAGAGTCGGATGGAGGCACAGGCTCTGGGAATGCTCTCAGCGGAGCACCTGCAATGAATGCAGAGTCAGATGGAGGCACAGGCTCTGGGAATGGGCTCAGCTGAGCCCCTGCAATGTGTGCAGAGAGTCGGATGGAGGCACAGGCTCTGGGAATGGGCTCAGCTGAGCCCCTGCAATGTGTGCAGAGAGTCGGATGGAGGCACAGGCTCTGGGAATGAGCTCAGCTGAGCCCCCACTGTGTGTGCAGAGAGTCGGATGGAGGCACAGGCTCTGGGAATGGGCTCAGCTGAGCCCCCGCTGTGTGTGCAGAGTCAGATGGAGGCACAGGCTCAGGGAATGGGCTCAGCTGAGCCCCTGCAATCTGTGCAGAGAGTCAGATGGAGGCACAAGCTCAGGGAATGGGCTCAGCTGAGCCCCTGCAATCTGTGCAGAGAGTCAGATGGAGGCACAGGCTCTGGGAATGGGCTCAGCTGAGCCCCTGAAATCTGTGCAGACAGTCAGATGGAGGCACAGGCTCAGGGAATGGGCTCAGCTGAGCCCCCGCCGTGTGTGCAGAGTCAGATGGAGGCACAGGCTCAGGGAATGGGCTCAGCTGAGCCCCCGCTGTGTGTGCAGAGTCGGATGGAGGCACAGGCTCAGGGAATGGGCTCAGCTGAGCCCCTGCTGTGTGTGCAGAGTCGGATGGAGGCACAGGCTCAGGGAATGGGCTCAGCTGAGCCCCTGCTGTGTGTGCAGAGTCGGATGGAGGCACAGGCTCAGGGAATGGGCTCAGCTGAGCCCCTGCTGTGTGTGCAGAGTCGGATGGAGGCACAGGCTCAGGGAATGGGCTCAGCTGAGCCCCCGCTGTGTGTGCAGAGTCGGATGGAGGCACAGGCTCAGGGAATGGGCTCAGCTGAGCCCCTGCTGTGTGTGCAGAGTCGGATGGAGGCACAGGCTCAGGGAATGGGCTCAGCTGAGCCCCTGCTGTGTGTGCAGAGTCGGATGGAGGCACAGGCTCAGGGAATGGGCTCAGCTGAGCCCCTGCTGTGTGTGCAGAGTCGGATGGAGGCACAGGCTCAGGGAATGGGCTCAGCTGAGCCCCCCGCCGTGTGTGCAGAGTCAGATAGAGGCACAGGCTCAGGGAATGGGCTCAGCTGAGCCCGGTGACTCAGGGAATGAGGCACTTCCAAGGAATGCATGGAGCAGCCTGGTATCGCTTTGAAGAAGTGACTCCACCCTGGAGGACTTAATCAGGCTCAACAGAAACTCGAATTTGCATGGTGGCTTTTCCAGCTTTCCCTCAGACTTGTCTCCCGGAGCGATTGTCTCCGCCGGCGCTGGCGCTGCTCGCAGGGACCTGCCGAACGCTGAGCTTCGTCTTCGGGGAACGTAATCAGGACAAATGTGAATTGATGAATCTGGCGGGTTGTGCAATCCTCCAGTTTCTGTGTTACAAAAGCCGTGCATGGAGAGCTCCTGGCACTGGAAATGTCACCTTCCCTGCAGACCGCCAGCCAATGGGGACGGGGCTGCGTCTCAATCAATGACAGCAACCAATCAGACAGCACCCCTCATTGGTCTGGTGGTCCTACAAAAGGGGGAATCTGACCGCTGTAGTTCAGCCGTTCGCACGTTGTCACCGTCATTGCAATTTAGGTTGCTGTGATAATGGTGCAGCGAATGATGATTTACTAACACGGGGGAGTGCAGCTGTGCAGGGCCGGGGCAAGGGGTGGGCAAGAGGGGCGGCTGCCCTGGGCACTGTGGAAATAATGTGAGGTGGGAGGGGGGGCATCACGAAGAGATTGGGGAGAGGGGATTTACATCCAAATCAGGTGAACAGTGTAGGGATGACAACAGTTTTCATATGTGCCTCCCACTTGTTAAGGGACCAAAAGTAATGGGACAGAATAATAACCATAAATCAAACTTTTACTTTTTAATACTTGGTTGCAAATCCTTTGCAGTCAATTACAGCCTGAAGTGTGGAACGCATAGACATCAGCAGACGCTGGGTGTCATCCCTGGTGATGCTCTGCCAGGCCTTTACTACAACTGTCTTCAGTTCCTGCTTGTTCTTGGGGCATTTTCCCTTCAGTTTTGTCTTCAGCAAGTGAAATGCTCAATCGGATTCAGGTCAGGTGATGGACTTGGCCATTGCAGAACATTCCACTTCTTTGGTGTCTTTTGCAGTCTGCTTTGGGTCATTGTCCATCTGCACTGTGAAGCGTCCAATGAGTTGTGAAGCATTTGGCTGAATATGAGCCGATAATATTCCCGAAACACTTCACAATTCATCCGGCTGCTTCTGTCAGCCGTCACATCATCAATAAATACAAGAGAAGCAGTTCCATTGGCAGCCATACATGCCCACGCCATGACACTACCACCACCATGATCACTGATGAGGTGGTATGCTGAGGACCATGAGCAGTTCCTTCTCCATCCTCTTCTCTTCCCATCACTCTGGTACAAGTTGATGTCGGTCTCATCTGTCCATAGGATGTTGTTCCAGAACTGTGAAGGCTTTTTTACATGTCGTTTGGCAAACTCTAATCTGGCCTTCCTGTTTGTGAGGCTCACCAATGGTTTCCATCTTGTGGTGAACCCTCTGTATTCACTCTGGTGAAGTCTTCTCCTGATTGGTGACTTTGACACACATACACCTACCTCCTGGAGAGTGTTCTTGATCTGGCCAACTGTTGTGAAGGGTGTTTTCTTCACCAGGGAAAGAATTCTTCGGTCATCCACCACAGTTGTTTTCCGTGGTCTTCCGGGTCTGTTGGTGTTGCTGGGCTCACCGGGGCGTTCCTTCTTTTTAAGAATGTTCCAAACAGTTGTTTTGGCCACGCCTCATGTTTTTGCTATCTCTCTGATGGGTTTGTTTTGTTTTTTCAGCCTAATGATGGCTTCACTGATAGTGACAGCTCTTTGGATCTCATCTTGAGAGTTGACAGCAACAGATTCCAAATGCAAATAGCACACTTGAAATGAACTCTGGACCTTTTATCTGCTCATTGTAATTGGGGTAATGAGGGAATAACACACACCTGGCCATGGAACAGCTGAGAAGCCAATTGTCCCATTACTTTTGGTCCCTTAACAAGTGGGAGGCACATATTCAAACTGTTGTCATTCCTACACCGTTCACCTGATTTGGATGTAAATACCCTCAAATAAAAGCTGACAGTCTGCAGTTAAAGCACATCCTGTTCATTTCATTTCAAATCCATTGTGGTGGTGACTTTTACTTGGAGGGGAAATTTGTGGGGTAGAGTATTTGTGCAGGAAGGGGATTTTTTTTTTGGGGGGGGGGAATTT